GGGGCCGCTGACCATCTCCCAGTACAGCCAGCTGGCGGCGCAGCTGGCGGCAGCCAGCCAGGACCGCCCCGCCGGCGCGCCGCCCGTCATCTTTGTGCCTGTCCACATGCCGGGCGGCCTGCCCTGTGGGCAGCCGCACTGGCCGGCGCCCTGCTGGCCGCAGCAGGAGGCGCCGGCGCCGGCGCCGGCCGCCCCCAGCGCCTCGCCCGCCGCCGCGGAGGCCGCCGCCCACCAGGCCCGCCTGCTGTCTATCCTGGCCACCCTGCAGCAGCTCAAGGTGCAGCAGGCGGGGGCGTGCTTGGGCGACGCCGCCACGCAGCTGCCGCTGTGAGGGCGCGCCTGCGCATGCCTTGTGTCTTGTACCACCGCGGCGGAATGAACGACCTGACGACAAAACGCCATGAATGGAATGGACGAACCTAGCCTGTGCCCCTGCTTGAAAACTGTGGCTGAACGCTGCATCGTGAACACCCTCTAGCCAGCCGAAACCCAACGCTCCCATCCCAATGTTTTTGAAACTACAACCGCCTTACTCAAATTGTACCTTTTGTACCGTCGTTTGCGCAGCGTGAGAGAACCCAACCCCCATTTTGATATCCTGCCAATTTTCAACCAACTCTTCTCTCTTTTCCACCTACTCTTCTAGTGCTACCCAGCATTGAGCATTCCCTTTCACCACATGGCTTCCAAATTTCTTGGGTATGTGCCCCTACCTGCAGGGCTCACCTTTGCAATGCTGTTCCTTAATCTTGCCCTGTCCCTTAGCCTTGCCCTGCTCGCTTCCAATGCCCTTTTCTTGATTATGCTGTGCCCGTTCAGCTGCAATGATATGCGCGTCGTGCTGTAATAGTGTCAGCTCACATCAGTGCTGCAGCAGGCAGGGAAGGCTGCCTGCAGCTGCCGCCAGCTGCTGCTGCCTGCTGCCCCGCCATCCCTTCCAGGAGGTGCCAGCTGCACCTCTGCTCCTTGGTGGCCTTGTGGGTTACATGAGGGTGAGAAGGTTTCGTTCATTGATTTGAAGGAGAGGGAATATATAGGGAGCGGGCCGCATGAATCGAGGCGCCGTCGCGAGCTTTGAGGGGGGCGAGAGAGAAACAGTACGGGGTCAGCTGAGAGAGCAACGAGCTAGAGAGATTGGAGCATACTGTGAAGGGTTTGGGGAGGCGGAGGGAGCGTTGTTGAGTTTGGTGCTGTGCTGGCGCTTGTTGGCAAGAGGGGTCGCGGGGGGTCGGGGGGACAGATCTCAGGGAAAAAGAGGGGGCTGCCAACTTGTTGCAACAAAACAGAATCCGTGAAAAGGGGTACGGGGCGGTATCGTGCGCCGGTACCGCAGAGGTCCTGCCTAATGTGGCGTCCTGCCTAGCATCAAATACAGTCTCTGCCTATGCTTAAGGGTGCCCAGAGGGGGGGCAGGGGGGCGGCAGCGGCTGCCAGCGGCTTGCGTGCCACCGCGCCTGCCCTCTGGTGCGCTGTCGCCAAGGGCCCAGCCTGCGGCAAAGCCTCACGCCACCTGCAGCGCCAGCTGGGGCGGGCTGTGCTCGGCGCACCCGCCGCCGCCGCCGCCAGCCAGCTGCAACTGCTTGGGCGACATCACGGCTGGGAGCGGGGACAGGCGGGGCGACTTGCAGGATGGGGAGGGCGCCTCGGCGCTGGTCACCACCGCCGCCGAGGCCACAACCGCCGAGGCAAGCAGCGGGGCGCCGGCGGCGAGCTCCACCGCCGCCTCGGCGGCCGCCGCCGGCGCCGCAGGCTGCGGCGGCGTGCCTGCCTCCACGCCAGCGCTGCCTGCGGGGTGCAGCGCCTTGATGACGAAAGCGGCGTCCCGGCCCGCCTGATGCCGTTGCAAGGCCGCCGCCACCGCCGCCGCCACGCCCGCCGCGCCGTCGCCCGGCTGCTGCTGGTGCTGCGCGGCGCTGGGCACGGCGGGTGACGAGGCAAATGGCAACCAGCTGTGCGGGCCGTTTGCGACCGTGGAGGCGGTGGGGGGCCGCCGGGGAGAGAGGTAGCCCGCCGCCAGGGCCTCCTGGCCAAAGCGGGTGGGGCTGCCGGCGCCCGTGGGCAGCGCCGCGGTGCGCGGCCGCGCCGGCGAGCCCGCGCTGCGCAGGCTGCTGCTGCCCGCAGACGCGTGGGACGCCACGCTGCCGCTGCCGCCGGCGGCGGCGACGGCGGCGGGGCTGCCGCCGCACGGCGCCGCGCCCGTGGCGGCGGCGATTGCGGCAAAGTCCCATTGCCAATCGGCGGCGCTGCCTGCAGTGGCTGCCTTCCTGGCTGCCGCCGCCGCTGCCGCTGCGGCCGCCGAAGCCGCGTCGCGCTCCTGCGCGTCGGCTGCGGCTGCTGCGACGGCCGCCACGCCGCGCTGCGCCTCCACCTGCGCCTCAAACGTGAGGTGGTAGGCGGCGGTGAGGCTGTTGCACTCTCGGAAGCGCAGCGCGCGGCGGATGGCGGCCGCGTCGGCGCCCAGCGCCTCCAGCCGAGCCAGCACTGCAGCAGGGGGAGGGGGCAGCGGGCAGGGGGCCGGTGAGAGCAGGGCATGAGCCGGGGGAACAAGGGATGCCGGGAAGGGAGGTGGGCAGGCACACGCTCCAGGAGCGTCGCGGAGCACGCGCTGCGGTGCACCAGCCACCAGCCCCAGCTCCACGCCCGGCAGCACACCACACACACTCCACACACGCAAGGCGCGCGCTCGCGAGGCGCCCAGCCAGCGGCCGGCGGCGAGCGGCGCGGCGCGGCACAGCGCAGGCCAGGCCCTGCCCAGCCTGGCAGCCCCCACCCCAGCCGCCCCACCCACCTGTCTCGTCGGGAAGCACGGCGCCGGTGGCGGGGTCGGTGAGGGCGCGGTACAGACGTCCCGCACCCACCCCCGGCGGCTGCCAGCGAGGCGCGGAGGCCACCCACGGGTGGCTCCACGCCTGCTCCAGCGTGATGCGCTGCTCGGGGTCCAGGGCAAGCATGCGGGACAGCAGGTCCTGCGCCGCGGGGCTCATCCAGGCCGCGGGCTTGTACACGCCTGGCGGCCGGGGGGGCAGGGAGGGGAGCGGGCACGCGTCGCCACCGTCAGCAGCCCGGCAGGGGGCTGCGGGAGGGCCGGAGCCAGCCATGGCTGCTCTCGCGGCAGATCCAGCCGCATGCTCCCCAGCAACGCCTTCTTCCTCTTCTGCCTTCTGGACAGCGCACACACACGCACACGCCCTCCACCCGCACCCACGCACACCGCCACCGCCACACACTCTACCCCCCCACCACCACACCACACACACACACACACACACACGCCAGGACCGTCTCGCTCGGCTGCCTCAACCAGCATCACACCACGCCCACGCGCTGCTCACAACCACCCCCCCCCCCAGCACCACACTCCCCAGCACAACACACCCCACCCACACCCACCCACCCGCCAGGATCTTCTCGCTGAGCTGGCGCTTCTCCTTGGCGTGGAAGGGCAGGTACCCGGCCAGCATGGCAAACAGCACCACGCCCAGCGACCACACGTCCACAGGGGGCCCCAGGTAGTCCTTGCGGGCCTGCGGGGCAGGCAGGGGCCGGAGGCGGCAGCAGGGAGGCGCGGTCGGAAGCGGCAGGGCCCAGATGGCGAGGTGGCCTGGCGCTTAGGCAGCAGTGCAGAACAGCAGCGGCAACAGCAGAGCAGCAGCGGCGCCGCGGCCTCCAGCGAAGCAGCTGGGCTCAGCAGCAGACCGGCAGGCACCCACGATCGTGCGTGCGCACATCCAGCCCCCGGCAGCCTGCACCCAGCCGCAGCGGCCACACAGCCCCGCCACCACCACCACCACCACTAAACCGCCGCCACGCACCACGATCTCTGGCGCCGCGTACGACGGCGAGCCGCAGTGGCAGCGCAGGTGCTTGCCGGCCACGTAGTAGCCGCACAGGCCAAAGTCGATGAGGCGCATGCGGCCGCCGCCGTCGATTAGAATGTTCTCTAGCTTGATGTCGCGGTGCACCACCTGCGAGGGGTGGAGTGGAGGCGGCGCGGGCGGGTGGGGAGGTGGAGGGCGGGGCGATAGTGTGGTGACCACGATCCCGTGAGCTGGTGGCTGTGTTTGGATGTGCAGGGAGGTCGGCAGCGTGGGAGGCATGCCGATGTTGCGAGGGGCGCCGGCCTAGGCTGCAGTCTAGACAAAGCAAGGAGGCAGGGCAGACACCCCCCACCCCGCACCCACCCCACCCCCATCCCCGCTCACGTCCTTGCGGTGGCAGAACTGCAGGGCGTGCAGCAGCTGCTGGAAGATCTGGACCGCCTCCGCCTCGGGCAGCTTCTTGCGGTCCCGCACATAATCCAGCAGGGAGCTGCGGGGAAGGCAAGGGGGGCAGGGCAGGGGAAGGGCTGAGGGGCAGGGGAGGCTGAGGTGACGCCGCCTGCAGGCCGGCGAGGCTGCTGGGTGTGCAGAGCAGCGAGCTGTCCCTCCCTCCCTAACTCAGCCGTCCATCAGGGCAGTACACGGCGGTATGGCAGCGGTACATCAGCGGTACACCCACCCGCGCGCCGCCGCCTCCATCATGATGTACACGTGGTCCCGCGTCTCGACGTACTCGTACAGCCGTACCTGCACAGCAGGCACAGCAGGCGCAGCCACAAACGCGTCAAGTAAGCACACACGGCTGGGGGCCGCAGCAAGGCAGGCAGGCAGGCAGGCACGCCTGCCACATTCCCAGCGCAGGCGCGGTTGCCAGCGAATGTGCGGCACAGCTCTGGCATAGCTCTGGCACAGCGGCAGCAGCAGGCCCGCAAATGCAGGCGCAGATGCTGGCGCAGGTGCAGGCAGCCAGGCCAGAAAGCCACGCACCACCGTCACGTGGTTGGACAGGTTGCGCATGACGCGGCACTCCCGGTCCACTCGGTCTCGATCCTTGGGGTCCTGCCCAGGGGAGAGCAGGAGGGGGGGAGGAGGAGGGGAGGAGGGGAGGGCAGGG